CTATTATTGTATTTGATAACTCTGATACAAACTAACATCTTATCACATTACTTATCATAGTTATCTTATTAATATTATTTAATTCAATTCTATTATTGTATTTGATAAATCCGATACAAACTATATATACTTAACATCTTATCACATTCATTCATAGTGAACAAACTGCTTCCACTGTCATTATCAGGTGCATCGATAAAGACATGCGGAATCGGCTCAGCTCTATCCGGATCGCAGAACCATGACTATGACGAGAGTCTTAGTGTATGGTTTGGGACCCGATAGTCTACTCACTCTGTTCACCCTCGATCAAAAATTTATAGAATTTTATGTAAACAAGATTTTTTATGTGAATAAAATTTAACATTCATTTAACAAAAAAAAACATCTTATCACATTACTTATCATAGTTTTAAAAAAATATGTATATATTCTTGTATCATCCACAATATCAAGTGTTTCATCCACAATATTAATAAACCAAAAACAATTCACCTATTATTTCTTTAGTCTATGTTTTCTAAATTTTGTTTATGCAAACATTTATTTTCGATTCAAATATGCAAACTTTCAAAGCTTTTTCTTTCTTTCTTCAAAATTTTTAGTAACTCTAAACAATAACATGGATTTAAATACTACTGGTATTGGTCCAACTGTTTTATTTGACATTTTTTTATATATATGTTTATGTATATACAATAATTGATATAACAAAAGTTTTGACAAAATCATGGACATGCAAACCTCAAGAAAACAAGCTTTTTTGCAAACCTCAGGAAAACATCGACCAACTCTGTCATTACTGTTTAAAGAATTCAACATTAAGGAGTTCTACAAATCAAGGTTCCTACAAAACAATTAGATCGTTTCAAATCACACAACAAGATTTTTAATTCCAACTACTTGGCTCTGGGTTTCTTAGCAATTCTGCTAACCAAGAAATCATCATCTGAGTCACCATCTTCTTCATCAGAATCCTTCTTCCGCTTCTTCGCGGTTGGTTTCGAATCATTTACCTTCTTTTTGGCAGACAAAGATCCAGATGATGGTTTTACTTCCTTCTTCGCGGCCACTGATTTGGAACTGGTTCTTGGAGTAGAAGCTGCAGATTTYGCTGGAGAACTGAACTTTCCACTCTTTTGCAGTTTCTTCTCAAGAACTTTCTTTGCTTTTTCAGCTGGAAGCAATCCAGACTCCATCAACCTGTGATCAAAAACACCCAAAAAGGCTTTTAAAACAAATATATCAATCTGAACCAAATGATGAATAGACCCACACAAAAACCATCACAGATATAATACTAATGCTTTGTGTGGTTGGTTTGAAAGGACTCGTCAAATTTTGATGATCAAAATTCATGTGAGCTCATTGCAGGTATCACAAAACACAAGAGACAATCAAAACTCTAAACATAACTATGCATCAAGAACCAATAGAAAACGGAAAAGAAAGGATGAGAGTCAACTTGGTGCAGAACTAAGTTTACACATTGAGTGAACAAACACAATAATCAGGTACATACCAAAACAAGATACATACGTGATCGTGAGTCGACGTTTGTAGTTCCTCATTTTATCATAATTACGAGTTTGCGCAACACAAAGGAATAAGAAAAGCTCACCAAATCTGAGCCATTTCGCTAGTGGGAACTTGCTTGTAAAGTGACTCGTAGAAAATCCTAAGTGAATCTCTCTGCAGAATTGCAAAAACACCACAAAGGAAGTTTCTTCAGCCACAAATCTTAAAAATCAGAGAAAAAAGAGAGAGCAGTAGAAATAATTACCTCCTCAGGTATGTCTCTCTTCTGACCAGGTAATGCAAATACT